ATTGGCCAGACATGACGACATGACCACACCTTGCTGCAAGGGAAGCTGGGAAATGCAACTTCCTGTGTACCTGGGCAGAGGAAAATGAAATGAGATGTGGCTGATTTATAACACTGTCTGTGTCACAACTGAGAATGTGAGGCCAGGAGACTGGATTGGATCCAAAATGTACTACACCTGTGATTGTCAAATGTGAATGTACGTAAAATGAAGGACACACAAACAAAATATTACAACTTCTATGTGTTGTGTTATTTTAATCCAACAAAAAGAAAAAACACATACATAAGCAACACATATATGCAGTAATACCCACATGTAAATAACATACTCACTACATAAAATGGCTTCATATCACAATACATGAAGTACCCTGACAAAAGAGTAGGAGCTCTGTGACCTGAAAGAGTGGGCCAGATGCCAACAGCTGCTTACCAGGTTTTGCTACATTGTCAGGTAGTGTAGTTTCTGTGCATCTGGGTGGGGTAGATTACATTACCTAGCATTAATAAAAAATAAGCCTGGGGTGCCTGGGTAGCTCAGTCACATGAGCCTGAGACTCTTGATTTCAGCTCAGGTCATGACCGCGGTGTCATGGGATCGAGCCCTGCATCAGGCTCTACACCGAGCATGAAGCCTGGCTACGATTCTCTCTCTCTCTCCCTGTGCTCCTCTCCCCCACTCACACATACTCTCTCTCTAAATAAATTAAATAAATAAACAAACAAATAATAAATAAATAAGCCTGACGAAAATGGATAACTGGCTTTAAAAGACTCCTGCAAAAGCCAAAAATAGAACATAATAACTAAAACACTAAAATGAATGAAGTAAAAACAGTAGGGCTCATGCTTCTCCTTCCCAACTGTATTATGAAATGAAAACAACTATCTAATCAGACAAAGTCCATAAAAACAAAGCAGTTAGCAATTATTTGAAAAACGGATTTATATTCACTGGCGTTAATGATGAACCTAATCCTGAATGTATATTGTGTCTGGAGATCATTAGTTATCAATGGTATGGGGCCGAGATCATTAGTTATCGACGGTATGGAGCCAATATGAGATTTCAAAACAAACTATCTAGAGCATGAAGACAAGCTTCTATAGACAAATTTTTCTCAGTAATACTCAATCCAGTAGTTAAACAAAATTTTAGTAAATTTAAAGATAAATGCTCAGGGGCGCCTGGGTGGTTCAGTCGGTTAAGCGTCCGACTTCAGATCAGGTCACGATCTTGCGGTCCGTGAGTTCGAGCCCTGCGCTAGGCTCTGGGCTGACGGCTCAGAGCCTGGAGCCCGCTTCCGATTCTGTGTCTCCCTCTCTCTCTGCCCCTCCCCCGTTCATGCTCTGTCTCTGTCTCAAAAATAAATAAACGTTAAAAAAAAATTAAAAAAAAAAAAGATAAATGCTCATGAGGTCCTTGTGAGATTTGTTAATCACAAGACGGAAACCCCAAAACCCACTGAGAAAATCCTTGTTTTTCTTATTATAATAAAAATGACTAAAGCGCTATTCGTTCATTCATCTATCCATTGAATTAATAAGTAGTGACTGAAGTCTGCTAGGTGGTAGGTACGGCTCTGGGCGCCAAGAATAGAAAGGTTACACAAATCAGGAAAAAGGCACTGCTCTCCTGGAGCTGACAATTTAGAGCACTGGTTCTCAACGGGGGCAGAGATTCTGCCCTCTGAAGGCAGTTCGGCAACGTCGTTTTTGCTTTCACAACTAGGAGGGGGGTGCTGTTGGCATCGAGCGGCTGGGGGCCAGGGCCGCTGCTAAAGATGCTGCAGTGCACGGGACAGACGCCCACCACAGAGCGTTATCCTGCCCAGAGAGTCGGCAGCGCCGAGGCTGAGAAACCGCCAAGGCCCAATTTCATAAGGCGTGTAACATACCGTAGAATCTTCGCAGTGCTCTAAAAATGAGACGGAAAGTGATCCTGAAACTGGCGGATCACACCACAGTTTGCCGGACGACTGGCAAGCAAGTAATTTGAGCATCTGTCACATGGAAAGATGAGCTGCACATCTTTCTTTTACAAAACGATGTGTTCCAGATTTTGTGCCCGCTTCTACAAGTGGCCGTCAGTAATGCACACTTAATTAAAAAAACATTTTGTCTTTTAAAGGCAAAAGTGATGTTTTTCACATTGGCCAAGAAAGTGATTGCTTTTTGAAAGAAACGTGTGCTTTGAAAGTTCATTTTGGAAACCACTACTCGGAAACGTCTGCATCACTATGTGATTTGTTCCCCCCAGTGATGTAAGTGTGACCTAGGAAAACTCTTTTATTTACACACTTACAAAGCCTGAACACAAAATGTTCTAACCCATTTGAAAATCTTCTTCTAAATATTAAAGTATAGTTGAAACATAATGTTATATTAGCTTCAGGTGCACAACATAGCGACCTGGCCAGTCTGTTATGCTGGGGTCACCACAACGCCATTAGGATACCATCAACTATACTCCCGGGGCTGAACCTTTCATCCCCTTGACTTACTCGTTCTGTAACTGGAAGCCTGTACCCCCGACTCCCCTTCACTCATTTTGCCCATCCCCTCACCCCTTCAAACATTTCTGGCAAGTTTCGAACTCAATTAGTTTAAAAGCACAAGTGAATGACACCAAGGCAGTCAGAGGTTCCAGGGGTCAAACTAACACCTTCTTCCCCTAACTGGTGGCTGGAACTGACATAAATAAATATCAGGGCGGTATCGTGGACTTGCAGTCAGAGGTGCCAGACACGCAACTGCCTACGGTCCTCGCCACTGGCCGTGCCCACATAGCTCGTCCTCGCAGGACAGCTGCATGTGAGCAGTGGAGAGCGGCCGACAGCCAGCAGCCCTGCCGCAGCCCTGGAAGAAGCTACGAAGCAGTGCCTGTCCCGGGCAGAAGGCTCCCACCCTCACGATTACTCCAACAATCAGCAACAGGCACAGCGGCCTCGGAAACTTCCATGCCCAGGCTCCGTGCTCACACCCTCCTGATTCCAGACAGGGCTTCCACTCAGACCCTCCTACTGATGGGGAACGGTCCCCCCAGCCCACTCAGCCAGCCCAGCCCTGCAAAACATCTCAAGGTCCTAAAAAGGCCAAGAGGACCTCCAAATCGCCACTACGGCCTGGTGTCCGAGTTCAGGGCTTCGGTGGCACAGGCCACATCTGCCATGTGGCTGCTCCTTAAAGACAGACCTCCAGTGGTCAGGCAGTCCAGAAGCAGCCCTTTAATGCCCCCTGGACTATCTACACACCCAGATCCCCATCCTGAAGCCCACCCCCAAAGAAGACGCTCTTGACTTCACAGATTCAGCTCTACTGGCTCTAATTCGCAACAAGTTCCCCGTCAATGGCAAGAACTACTACTGGCTCTCAAAAGCCACCCAGCTTCTGCACAGCTCATCTTTGTCACCAACCACTTCCTGGCTCGTAGGCTTGTCTCTTAATCTGGAGGCCCACTCTCAACTCCCAACCCCCAAAGGCCGCAGCTAAAGGCTTCACAACTGGGAGAGGTCACTGAGGGCACGCCAGGAAGCAAGCCCGACTGAATACCTCATCCCTCAAGGCCATCTGCATCACCTCGCAGCAAACCAAGCAGGCAGCAGATCACCGACATCCAAGCCATCATTCTGCGTGTGTTCAAGGGGCAGCTCTATCCACCCTGTGAGTGACTGGAGGGTCACCTGTCACACCCTGCCCTTGCCCTCCTTGCCACAGCCCCAACATTTCTCGACGCCTAATGCTCATCACTGTCCCTGGGAGCGCCACCGAACAGTGACCATATCAAAGTATTTGTTCTGAATCCCTGAAGCGCGAAACAAACTCAGGACAACCCAGTCAGTTGGAGAAAGACGCTTCCGAAAGGAACTTAGATTCTGCTGCCGGATGACCAGCCTCCAGCCCTGCCAATGCCCAGGGCACGAATCGCCTTGGGCTGGTGCTGCTGCGAACCGCATAGTCACCCAGGTTCGTGGCCTGAAGACAGAACCAACAGATCTGCTCTTGGGGGAAAGAAAAGCATAATGAAGTTGCAATTTCTAATTTTGTTTGTTTTTTTTTTTTTTAAGAAAGAATGAAAATAGTGACGCTTTTGCACTAACTCAATGCCCTCATATTTTGCACAGTCGAAGACAGGCTAAGATATTCTGGATGTCCTGATGCACATGAATCCATACCACGGACTTGAAATCTTCTATGAAACCGTGGGATCAAGGAACATTTTGCTAGATTTTTTTAGTTCCCGGCCCAGTCTTGCCCTTGCTCACCTGGATATGACACGGCTCTTCTAACTCCTCCAGTCGTCATTTTTTTTTTAATTTTTCTTTCTTTTAGAGAGAGAGAGAATGTGAGAGCATAAATGGGGAAGAGGGACAGAGAGAGACAGAGAGAGAATCTTAAGCAGTGTCTACACTCAGACATGGGGCTCAATACCATGACCCTGGGATCATGACCTGAGATGAAAACCACAGTTGTACATTCAAACAACTAAGCCACCCAGGTGCCCCCTCCAATCATCATCTTTGATTTGCTGGAAACACGTGGTTTACAGTTGAAAGGCAGCAAAGGAGGAAAAAGTATTATTTTCCTTTCTTGGTGACATATGCAGAACTTTCGAGATATTATAACTGACTTGAAAATAATCAAGTTTTGGGGTGCCTGGTGGCTCAGTCGGTTAAGCGTCCAGCTTCAACTCAGGTCATGACCTCACAGTTCATGGGTTCGAGTCCCATGTCAGGCTCTGTGCTGATAGCTCAGAGCCTGGAGCCTGCTTTGGATTCTGTGTCTCTCTCTCTGCCCCTCCCTTGCTCATGCTCTGTCTTTCTGTCTCCTCCCTCTCTTTGTCTCTCTCTCTCTGAAAAATAAATTGACGTTAAAAAAAATTTTATTAAAAAATAAATAAATAAATAATCGAGTTTCCCGAGCATACACAGTCTGTCCCATAAATGTGTTTTCAGATAACATCTTTTTTGCAACTTCAAACGTGGTGCCACCACTCACCCTTAAGTGCACTTCACTATAGCACAGGTCACTCTCCCCATGACGCGGAAGTGTTACGCAGAACAGTCTTCTTCTCGTTGCCTCGTGTCTAACTTCCCGGCATTTCACGCGACCTTTGCGACTTTTTTCCTCAGTGCATTTCTGTGTGTCCATTGGATTACAAACACTATTAAGAAATACAAAACCGAGAAATTGGTATGTAGAGTTTCTTTTAAAGTCATCTTGTAAAAGGCATACTAAAATATTTAGAATAAAATTGTACGAGCTTGAGAATTACTTCACCACAATCTAGTCGGGGGAAATGGCGCAGGTACAGATAAAACAAGATGGGTAACGGGTTGGTAACTGTTCAAGTCAGGGTAGGCATACATGGAGGTTTATCGTGTTATGCTCTCCAGTGTTGTGTATATCTTAAGCTCTTCATGATAAAAAGCTTAAAAAGACACAAGTATCATGATTTCAGTACTTGGTTAATAACACACTCCTTCCCTCCCTTTGAACATTTTTTTATGAGACAGCTTTTTGAGTTTTTACAGTTATTAAAAACTAGCATCTAAATTAACCGAACAGAATGCCAGAACTTTGCATTTCTTTTGTTTGTTTGTTTTTGGGTTTGTTTTTTTTTTTTTGCATTTCTATCTCAGAAAACTTAAACCAAAATTATCCAACTTAATGAGGCCAATCTAATCACATTGATCCCACTAGATATTAACATTTTTAGACAGTGCAAAACATTTATTGCACCTTTAAAAACAAAATTAAATTTTATTTTATAAATACTATTTAATTTTTATCTCATAATTAAAATTTTATTATGAGCTTTTTATTGTTTAATTGTAAATGTGTTGGTTTAAGAAACAAATAAATGTACATAAAGCTTCAAAAAGTTTTAAGCATAAGGGCCACAATCCAATGTGTGAAGACCCCTGCCGGTGACAAAACCCCACAGGGGGAGCTGTTACTTATTTGTCTGTGCATCTCTGAGGTATGGCACTAAGCTTGGCACATATTTCACACTCAATCCAGTTTGCTTAACTTAAAAAAAAAAAAAAAAAAAAAAAGGCCACTCTGGAGTGGCACAGAATGAGAATTTCAGAACTGGAAAAACAAACTGAAACCAAACGCCTCATTCTCCAACAAAGAGAGGTTTGGGAAGGTTAAATCACACAGCTAATGGAAGTACGGTGAAAGAAATGTTTAGGAAGATTGATCTGACATAGATCTATGGGATGCTTCAGAGGAGAAAAAGACTGGAAGCAACCGTGTGTGTTAAGAGGCGACTGCCATCATCAAAGCATGCGGTAATGAGGGTGTAAACTGGGGTGATGGGCAGGGAATGCGAAGCAGAGGAGGATCTGAAAGACATTGAAAATGTACCCTTCGCACTGCTTTTTCACTGTCAGTAAGATTTAATCTTGACCTATTTCTGCACAAGCTGATATCAATCATGATACCCAGATATTTTTACCCATAGCCCCAAACTGCACAAAAAAAGACATAATTAGCAATTCTTTTGACTCATCTAGGGCCTCTGAGAGTGATTCATACCCTTCACTACACAATTATCCACCATAAATATAGTTTAACCTCTGCTTATTCCAAGCAATGGTTCTTTATAATGTCCATCTGTACGTCACTTACTCTTTTGCTGTAGGATTAAGTCCAACCTCTTTATCTTTTGAGATCCTCAGTATTTTTTTTCTCCTCCACCTAAGATAATCAATCTTGACACACGTTATTCTGTAATATGACAGTAAGGAATCTTTCAGAATCGGGATAGCAAGTTTTGGTTTTTTTTCAATTTTTTTAAAGTTTATTTATTTTGAGAGAGACAGAGACAGCATGGGTGGGGAAGGGGCAGAGAAAGAGAGGGAGAGAGAGAGAGAAATCCAAAGCAGGCTCCCCACTGCCAGCGCAGAGCCCAACACTGAGCCCGACACTGAGCTCGAACTCACAAAACCGTGAGATCATGACCCGAGCCAAAACCAAGAGTCGGATGCTTAACCAACTGAGCCACCCAGCAGAGCAAGTTTTATTTATCTTCCCTAAACACGCTAAGATCAAAGATTCATATCAGTTAACCTTGTCTTTTAAAATGGACATACAATAGAGTAAATAAATGTCTTCAATAAGAAAAGCTGGTTGATCTCTTTTGTTCAAGACCAACAACCCAGAGAAAATCAAACTTTTGATTGTAGATGGGAAGGAAAATAATTTAGAGAAGCAGATGGGATAATGGGTGAGAAAGGCCAGGATAAAATCTGGGCAGGCAGAAGGCAATCACTTGGGTAGCGTCTCACATGCAAAGTCTGATCAGGCACTAAGGGGGGGTGGGGGCAGAGATACTGGAAAAGAGGTATAAGCACCCCAAAGACAAACCTGTAGAGGGTCAAGAAAGCTGACAACTGTCCCACATATTGCTGGAAATACTGCAGAACCCCTTGTGGCCCTCAAGCCACTCAGGGTCACCCCCAAACCAGTTCTGCTCCAAACCATGCTAACACACACTGTACCTAGTTTTCTCCCATGCTCACAACCCTACTCCGATCTCTGAGGATCCTATCTATGCAAACCTTTCTCACTTTCCGAGTTCCAGATTAGGCTTCCTCTCTTTCCTAGTTGACCACTGTAGCCAACCACACTCCTCCTCCTTGGTGTTAACAGTCAAATGCCATCTTGCATTGTTTTCAATTCAGGCCTGGCCTCCGGTAAAAGCAAAGTTCCTTGAGAATAGTTTCTCTGTCCTATAACTTATGTCCCTCCTTCAGAAAAAAAGCACAAAGTGAATGAAAAGTGTTCTTTTGGGGGGTGCCTGGGGGGCTCAGCAGGTTAAGCCACCCGACTCTTGATTTCAGCTCAGGTCACGATCCCGTCATGATCTCATAATGATCATGAGTTTGAGCCCCACGTCTCTCGCTCCCTCCTTTTCTGCCCCTCTCCTGCATGTGCACACGCACGCGCTCTCTCTCAAAATAAATAAATAATTTTAAAAAATAATTTTGGAGCTACCAGTGTTTCTATTCTGTTTTTCTCCAATTATCATTTAAAGCAGCATAGATCTTATAGTTTTAGAAGCAGTTCCTTATTTGGGGATCAGTTTATAAACTACGTGGTTGAAAATACATCCCAGCCAAGGATGTATATTTTTCTCTACAGCTGGTGATGAAGAAACGAACAAAGCTGGAGCCTAAAAAGACCAATATAGTCAATGCACTTAGACAAATGTCAACAGCTGCCAGGGAAGATTTCATACTTAGAATGGTTAGTCGGCTAGAAATTGGTTCTATTATAAGAATTTGTTTCCTCTGCAAAAGAAAAGTTTGAATACATTAAATCTTAATGAGAATTCTACAGGCCTGGGCACACAGTACAAAAAAAAAAGGGGGGGGGGGGAACCTAATTACAAAGCACAATTTTCCAAGTACATTCAAAGATTCTCAGCAAAAATAATTTAAATGAATTTTTTGTCTTGGAAAATAAATTATATAGATTTCTGATGTTTGATACTCAATGGAAATAAGCACACCAGAGTTTCATTTCTGCCATCTATTTTTTTCACTTATTCATATATTCATTCACTGAATGTCTAATACATACTGGGCATTGTGCTAGGTGCTGAGGAAACAGAAAAATAAGATAGCCTTGCCCTGGAGGATGTCAAACTGTGGGTCAAATAGAATGTCTTTAAATATGCCCAATGTTCCAATGGGAATACGCAATGGGAATATTTGGGCCTCGGAGCCATGACTAAGTAATAGATGTGGGGTTTCATTACATAGGTGGAGGAGGGGTGCCTGGGTGGCCCAGTCGGTTAAACGTCCGATTTCGGCTCGGGTCATGATATCGCGGTCCGTGAGTTGGAGCCCCGCGTCAGGCTCTGTGCTGACCGCTCAGAGCCTGGAGCCTGTTTCAGATTCTGTGTCTCCCTCTTTCTCTGACCCTCCCCTGTTCATGCTCTCTCTCTCTCTCTCTCTCTGTCTCAAAAATAAATAAATGTTAAAAAAGAATTTTTTTTTTAAATAAAAAAAAATAGGTAGAGGAACAGTGGGAATTAGACAGTATGTATATACCTAACACTACCATTTTAACCATGGTTTCTGGAAACCAAGAGTATAGCGCAAGGTAAGCAGAAGGTAAGGTCTCCGTCAAGCTCATTTATGATCAGAGGGCAGGAATCACCCAGAAGTTGAAGAAGATAAACTGACAGTGTGGTGAGTCTACAACGTGCCGGCCATTTGTGGACTTTCTACAGAATGTCTCATTTCATCCCCCAATGCCAAACCATGGCAGAGTTTACAGTGGAGAAAACCGAGACTCAGAGAAATTAAGTTAATTTGCCCCAAGTCACAGTGATCATCCTGGCACAGCCAGGATTCTGACCGTGTGGTCTGGCTCACAAATCTCGGTGTGATGAGTCTCATCTACCGCCTGCTTGCCTGGGAAGGCGCAGGGAAAGTGGTTTCAGCAGCCGGGGGACAGTGAGGAAGCTCTGACTGCAGATTTGGACAAGCTGGCGAAGGAAAAGGGAGCAGGAACTGAGGGCAGATCGCGACAAAACGACCTGAGAATTCAGTGGTCAAATCAGACTCGCTGTGGCACTTGTTTTTTTGTTGGTTTCACAAACTTCAAGGTGACAGTGACTATGTGGTCGGGACCTTGGCACCATTTTGGCTGCAAGTTACTGCATATCCAAGTAAAGCTTCTACTTGGAACGCTTCAGAGGCTGAAGCAAGCTTATTAAGGAAACGTGCTCTGCAAAGTAAAGACCAAAGAACGGAGGGTCGGAGGCTACGAAACAAAGGCCTCTGCTAAAGGCACGAGCCTCGACTAAATCGTCTCTTCTGACCGTCGCAACAACCAGGACCGAGGCTTTTTGTCCCAAGCCTGCACAGGGGAAAACATCGCTGACGACAGTGACGTCGGGCAGGTGTCCTGATGCATCTGACTTGGTCCCAGGTGGGACGACAGGTATCAAACACTTCACTGGGACAGAATTTAAATTCCACATTCAGCAAATGCTGATTGCCTGAAATAGAGCGGCTCTGTTTGCGAGTTCATTAGAAAATACCCCATCAGGGTGAGCAGGCTGGGAGAGGATATGATGTGGCAAAAACGAAAGAGCAGTCAAGAATACAAGAATAGGGAGGATGAACAAGACAGATGGGGAAGATGCTATTTTTTAGGTTTGCCAGTTTTGCAAGATGAAAGCAGTTCCGGAGACGGACGGTAGCGATGGTTGCCCAACAACGTGAATGTCCCAACACCAATGAAGCGTGTATTTAAAAACGGTTAAGACGGTAGCGCTGTGCGCATTTTGCCACAACTGAAAAAATAAGTTTAGAGTTTGCTTAAGCTATTAAAGTGACATAAGAGAACACGCTCACATTAAAAAGAAAAAAAAAACTTGCTTTAAACACTTTTGTTTAGGGGCGCCTGGGTGGCGCAGTCGGTTAAGCGTCCGACTTCAGCCAGGTCACGATCTCGCGGTCCGTGAGTTCGAGCCCCGCGTCAGGCTCTGGGCTGATGGCTCGGAGCCTGGAGCCTGTTTCCGATTCTGTGTCTCCCTCTCTCTCTGACCCTCCCCTGTTCATGCTCTGTCTCTCTCTGTCCCAAAAATAAATAAAAACGTTGAAAAAAAAATTTTTAAACACTTTTGTTTACTAGAAGCTGAGCGAGCTAATTGATGTTATTTGAAATGGCCCGTGGGAAAGTAACTGCAGCGTCTGTGGATTTCAGAATAATGATACAAGTAGTTTGAAGAAATTCTTCACACGCGTAGGCTCGTGGAATTTAAAACAGATGTAGCGTTAAGGGCTATGCAAGGTTTTTCAGTTACACGCCCCAACTTCTTCGGGGATGGGCTTCCACTGCTAAGCTCAGGCCCATCAGAAAGGCAAACCACACACTCGATCACAGGTATTGTCCGCAGTGCCCGGCTCACCCGTCCGTGCTTTCCCCTCAAGCCCGCAGCGCCCACCAAACAGCGGCTTCTCCCTAGTGAAAGACACGTTTTCCTTCCGAAAACCGTAGGACCTCCCTACACAATAGGGGAGCTATCTCGTTCTCGACGGCGGAGGCCACTTGGGGTTCTGTTCGGACCCCTTTCCAGTTACCCGGCTCCCTCGCACACGCTCCCCTACCGCCGCTCCGAGCTGCGCGGCCGCAGCCGCCCGCGGAAGGCAGGCTCCGGAGGCTGGACCGAGGCCGTGCGGCTCTCGCGAGACCCGTGGTCGCGCGGGAGTTCTCGAGTCGTGCGACGAGGCGGCGGCGGCGGCGGCGGCCCGGGACTCGGTGATGGATGGGGCGCTTCCGCAAAGATGGCGGCGGCTGCGGTAAGAAGCGCTCGGCTGACGGCCTGGGGCGGCCGACTGCGGCGTGGGCTCTCCGCCGGCCGGCGGGCTTTGCCGGGCCCCAGCCCCTTGGCGGCGGCAGTGGCCGGCGTGGCCCTGGCAGGCACAGCAGTGGCATGGTACCACGGCCGCGTGAACGTCGCGGCGCCCGAAGGCAGGCTCACCGTCTTAGCGCAGGTACGGGACCGGTCCTTTTCGCCAACCCCACCAAGCTCCTCCCTCCTCGGACTCCCGGCGGTGGAGAGTGGGGGCTGCCGCGGGCGGCCCCGGCTCCTCTTCCGGAGTCAACGTTAGGGGCGCCGCCGCGGAAGGCCCCGGACGGGTGGGAGGCGCTCCTTTCCAGCCGCGGCCCCCGCCGCGCGCGCCCGAGGGCATCGAGGCCGACGACGGGCCGCTCAGCCCCTGCGGGGGGGAATCCCGCGAAAGCCGCACGGACACCTAAAGCCCGAGACGCGAATAGAGACGATGGGTGTGGGCGTGTCTTGGTTTGTGGATTTCTCACTACACCTGGCCGGCGCTCCCTCCCTTCTTGCTGGTGTTGCTCAGAGGTTCAGGGGGTGTGTTTCCAGGGACTCACCCCACACGTACCTTTGTTAACCTTTGTAACTAAATCCTTTACGACTGGTTCTCTGCGTAGCGTGGTGAAGTTGTCCTAATAGAGGACTTTTTTTTTTTTTTAACCGTAAAAGTGCCAACCATAAAAATTAGCAGGTTGATGATTTCCAGATTTTATCATCACCTCTGGGGAACAGTATTACATGATTATGAACCTTAATCTTCGGTAGACTCTAAGTACTAAGCAAAAGACGTTTCTTCTGAAACCTCCACGTTTAAGGGACAAAGTTCCCTACTTCAGTGTAAAACTGCCCGGTAAAATATTTGAAAAAGTACTACTTCTTAGATATTTTATGTACTTTTAATAAGTTTTAGTGTATGCGTTGCTTTGAAAATTAGAAATCGTATTCTTTGTTAGGTTTACCTTATATCTTTTTTTTAAGGGTCTCTTCTGTTTAAAAAAATTTTTTTAATGTTTATTTATTTTTGTGAGAGAGACAGAGGGAGGCAGTTTGGGGGTGGGCAGAGAGAGAGGGAGACACAGAATCTTAAGCAGGCTCCAGGCTCTGAGCTGTCAGCACAGAGCCCGATGCGGGGCTCAAACTCAGGAACCGTGAGATCACGACTGAGCTACCCACGCACCCCTACATTTTACCTTTCTAATGAAAAACCCAAGGAACGGTCAGATACAAAGAAAGAGAGGAAGACAGGCCGTGTGAATTAAAATTAAGCATTGATAAATGATATTTTGACTTGTATTAAGTTAAGATGCCATATGGATAACAAGTTCAGTAACTTTCCTATCCTCTTACCATTTCTGATCATAGGTGGGAGGATCTGTCTTGTGGTATTTTATGGCATTTTTGTTAGTTCTTCTGGTGCCAAGGATTCAATTTATTATTCATCATTGGTTTCTCTCTATTCTCAGCTCTTTTTTTTTAATTTTTTTAATGTTTATTTTTGACACAGAGACAGAGCTTGAGCAGAAAAGGGGCAGAGAGAAAGAGAGGGAGACAGAATCCTTAACAGGCTGCAGGCTCTGAGCTGTCAGCACAGAGCCCAACGCAGGGCTCGAACTCATGAACTGTGAGATCGTGACCTGAGCTGAAGTCAGATGCTTAACCGACTGAGCCACCCAGGCACCCCTCTCTCTGTTCTCAGTCTCTTATTTCATTCTGTTTGCAACCTTTAGGTTAATCTTACAAAGAATGACTTTTTAACCACATAGCGTACCCTTCTTCAGTAACCATTGGTGCCTCATTCTGCCTAGGATAAAACCCACATTAGAAAATTTTGATACTCAAAGCCCGTTGTGGTAATACTCTAACCCATCACTACTCAGATACACTTCCAGTAAAAGTGATTCACTTCCTTTTTTTTTTTTTTTTAAACATTTATTTATTTTTGAGAGAGACAGAGCATGAGCCCAAGAGGGGCAGAGAGAGAGAGGGAGACACAGAATCCGGAGCAAGTCTCCAGTCTCTGAGCTGTCAGCACAGAGTCTGACACGGGGCTCGAACCCACGAGCCACAAGATCATGATCTGAGCCGAAGTCGAGGCTTAACCAATGAAGCCACCCAGGCACCCCTAAGGTGTACAACTTGATGGTTTTTTTGTACATTGTGAAATGGTCACCGTAACGAGTTAATTAACATACCCATCACCTCACCTAGTTACCATAGAGTATGTGTGTGATGAGAACACTTAAGATTTATCCTAAAACAAATTGTTAATTGCAGTTGCCATAGTGTATGTTAGATCTCTAGGACTTATTCATCTTGTTTAACCGAAACTATTATCCTGTGACCAACATCTTCCCACTTCCCCCAACCTCGGGCAACCACCATTCTCCTCTGTTCTTCTATTCAACTATTTTAGATTTCACATATAAGTGAGACCATGTAGCATTCGTCTTTCTGTACCTGGCTTATTTCACTTAACATATCTTCCATTCTCATCTTTGTTGTTGGGTAGCAAGATTTCCTTTTTCAAGGCTGAATAATATTCCTATGTGTGTGTACATGCACATCGCATCTTTTCCTTTCAGCCATTGATGGACAGTTGGTTATTGTAAATAATGCCGCAATGAATGTGGGAGTGCAGATATGTCTTCACAATACTGATTTCATTTCCTTCAGGTACGTACCCAGAAGTAGTACTGCGGGACCATATGGTAGTTCTGTTTTTAATGTCCTGAGGACCCTCTGTATTGTTTTTCATAATGCCTGTCCCACTTTACTTTCCTAGTCAACAGTGTAGAAGGGTTTTCTTTTCTTCACCTCCTTTTCATGACTTGTTATCTTTTGTCTTTTTGGTAATAGCTATTCTGACAGATGTGAGGTGATACCTTGTAGAAGTTTTGATTTGCATTTTCCTGATGATTCATGATGTTGAGCACCTTTTCATATATATGTTTGTCTTTTGTATGTCTCCAAAAATGTCTGTTCACGTCCTTTGCCCATTTTTTAATCTGGTTATTTTATTTATTTCTATGGTCATTTAGTTTGAGTTCCATTTATATTTTGGTTATTAATGTCTTATCAGATGTATGGTTTGCAAAAATTTTCTCCCATTCTGTAGGTTGTCTTTCAGTCCGTGGTTTCTCTTTGCTCTTTTTTTTTTTTTTTTTTTTTTTTTT